GCGCAGTCCCGCGTTCAGCTGACCGACAGCCCGCCATCTGTGTTATCTGTGACGCGTCACGCTGGTGTTCGCGGTCGATGAACGTCTGGCAGGTGCCGGCGAAGGCATCTGTTCAGGTTTCTGGCCGGACCCGCGAACTCACCTTTCCACACCATTGTAGCTGGATCGGCGAAGCCATCCATCGTGGACTGTTTTTTTTCCTATCTCGTTTTAGCTCGAGCTCTTTTTGTGTGTACTCCTCCGCCGTTGTCCTGCGACTTAGCACAATAATGGATGCTTCCTGCCGCGCCATCGACGTAGGTCAGCAATCATTTCGACCAGCTGTTTTGTCTCTGTTTCCGCGTACCACGCAGCACGTGTCAGACAGCTGGCCCACTCAAGACAAGGAACTGGCGGTTCCAATACTCGGGTGGGGCAAGACGTTACGCCTATACCAAAACGTCTTTCGGCGTCTGATGTCCGGCCAAAGCACGTCTGGACGGAAACTGCTCAGTGCTCGAACCCCGAATGTGACTTTGATGCTTCTGGGGTGTAGCGGTGTCCTGTCACATCCTGAAGTCAGGTCACTCGCCGGGTTCTGCAGTGTTTTCTGCCGGTGGGCGTGGCGGTGGCCTGCCCGGATGTATAGGTACCACTGGTAAGGTCTGCCCCGATGTATGGGTGCCACTGGTGAGGTCTGCCGCGATGTATTGACACCACTGGTGAGGTCTGCCCCGATGTATGGGTACCACTGGTTAGGCCTGCCCCGATGTATGGACACCACTGGTTAGGCCTGCCCCGATGCATGGGTGTCACTGTTGAGAGACGGACGCTGCTGGTCGGGACGGCTGCGGACGAGGACACATGCCATCCACGCTCGGCGTGCACTGCCGCCGTCCGTTCTCACGCGGATTTTCTCCGTGACGTTTTTGCAATGTTTAATGATGGTTCGGGAATAAGTGCGTATTTGCGAAGTGTGCACGCTCCATATTATATGAAGTTTTCAAGGGGAAACTCCTTTAACAATTTGAGTGATAGTGAAAATAACCTTTTGCCAACATAACTTCTAAAAGCAACTGATATGGATGGCAGAAACAGTTTCATCGAAGTCTGACGTGCGTGCGTGCAACACATTTCCGAAGCGTTTCAGAATGTTTGAATGCATTAAGGTCAGGAAGACTTCGAGAAAACAACTGTGCTAGTACACGAGTCAATTGCTTGTGCTTAGTTTCGACACCCATTACTACATTCGTAAGTGGTGTTTTTCATTGCGTTTCAACCATTGCGTTTTTCAGGCCAGCAGAGCGTATTAAATGGCGAATCAAAAATATGACCCAGACTAATCGAGTTCGTGTGCGTGCAGCGGTCCATGCACTGACCCACTGCGTACGGCTTACAGACCCTCAGGCATCATCCCCACTATCTGTTCCCTCTGACTCTAGATGGTTTGGACCATTTTTACGTCGTTGGTAACCGCTCAGACTGCAAATATTGCAGCATCACGACAGCTATCTGACGGATTGTGCGGCGGGGAAAATCCGGTTTAATGGCAGAACACCGCCGGTGGCGTCTCTGTTGCCGAGATCACTTGCGTAAAGCACTGCGTCAACTGTCTGAGCCCCGACCCCGGCGTCTCCCGCAGGCACCTCCCTGAAGAAGAAGCAGCTGTGGACGCTGCAGCCGACCGGGCAGCGAGACCACGTCAGCCTGCGCTCCCACCTGGGGAAGTACCTGGCCGTCGACAGCTTCGGCAACGTCACGTGCGAGGCCGACGAGCTGGAGCCGGGTGCCATGTTCGAGATCGCCGTGGCCGACGACGGTAGCGGCCGCTGGGCGCTCAAGAACGTGGAGCGCAAGTACTTCATGGGCGCCGCCGGCGATAAGCTGGTCTGCAACGCCAAGGCGCCGTCGGATGCTGAGCTGTGGTGAGGAGCTGAAGCTGCAGCTGCTGTTGAGGCGGACTGCGAGGAGCGGGGCGGGGGGGGGGGGGGCGAGGGGGGACTCTGGCTTTGGCCAGCGGGTGTGGATTTGTTTATTCAGGACATGAGCATTCCACAGGCAAAAGTCTAATTACGACAGCAGTCTAGTTTTAAGAACAATAAAGTACGATACACACACAAACAAAAAACCTAACGAAACACACACACATACAACTACACATTACACACAGTCCCACATCAAGTCATCGAGAGAATGTTCTACGTATGCCGGCGAACCTAAAGAAATCAAATCGGAATGATTTTGTTGGATGAAAAAAAGATTTTGCTGGGTGCATCGCAGCGGGGGGGGGGGGGGGGGGAGGCTGGGAGAATGGTTTTGACATGCTGGTGGCTCATGTCTTCATTGACGTGCCTCCACGACTGTGTATGGGTCAGTTGTTATTTCAGCGCGAGATTGGGGTCCTGGCTTTGCCGATGGTGTTCTGGTCGGGTGATACAGTGGGGCGAAACGCCGGAGATGGCGTTCTGCCTGTGCCGTCTTGCGTTTGGTTGTTTGTGCTAGGATCTTATGACGAGTCGAGAGAACGCGGAGTGGGATGCAGCAGATGTGCGGCAAACGTAACCTTGGCATACCGCTTACTCAGTAGCCGAACTTCCACTAGGTTGGGACGGATCACGATGGGCCGGCTCGGGACCCGGGATGGTATCACATTGCTCGCATTGCGAGAGTGAAGGGACGAATCATTTGTCACCGGGTGCAAGCATGAGCCGCATTCTTCAGTGTTGCCCAAGCTAGTTGCACGCGCTCATTATGCAGAGTCTTCTTGCGCGGCCCTACAAGCCCATGCAATCTGTAGGTGGGGCAGGCTCGCTCACTGGTGTCGGCACAGACAGCTCTTCCCTGATGCAACTCGCTCAGGTCGCCTACACCGCCTCCTGTCCGCGCCCCACCCCTTCCCCCGCCCCTCTCCCGCGTTTGACGCTGCTCCGGGCGCCGGCCAGGTACGTCCACCTGGCGGCCCGACCCCAGGTCAACGTGTACAGCCTGGGGCGGAAGCGGTTCGCGCACCTCTCCGAGGACATGGACGAGATCCACGTGGACGCCAACGTGCCCTGGGGCGAGGACACGCTCTTCACGCTGGAGTTCCGCGACAACCACTACGCGCTGCACACGTGCAACAACCTGTACCTGCACCGCGACGGGCAGCTGCAGAGCTCCTGCTCGGAGGACTGCCTCTTCGCCCATCGAGTACCACAACGGCAGCCTGGCGCTGCGCGACCGCGCCGGGCCGCTACCTCTCGCCGATCGGCTCCAAGGTGATGGTCGCGCGCGCCGCCCGCAGCGGGCCGAGCCGGGCGAGCCGGGCGCCTGCCCGGCGTGACGGGCGCATTGTGAAACCCCAAGTGCTAGGGCTACCGCACCCTGGACTGTGATAAACTGTGGCTGTTTGTTTCCGCTGGCGAATTTACGTGGACGCTGAGTGGTTCTCGGTCGCTCCTGCCGTGCAGGCGGTGCTGAAGACGCGAGGCCAGGCGGTGACCAAGGACGAGCTGTTCACCCTGGAGAACTCGCTGCCGCAGGCCAGCTTCAGCGCCGCACTCAACGACAGATACGTCAGCGTGAAGCAGGGTGAGCGGGCCGGTGGGGGGGGGGGGGGGGGGGAGGGCTCACGTGCCCACGTCGGTCCGACGCCCGACTCTGGGAGGGGGAGAGGGACAGGGGACAAAGCGGCCGAGAGAGCGGGAGAGTGGTGAGGATCCGGGACGTCATTGCGGTGCACGGGAGCTAAGAGGGGAGGAACAGCGAGACTACCCCCGTCCCTCGGAAGCTGTAGTCTGTTTAGGCGTGGATTTCGGACGTTCTAGGCGGCGTACCGAACGCGGTTCCTCTAAGTTCGGTGCTGGATCCGCCTGCGAGGCGAGACAGTAGCGTGTGGCAGCGGGCGCAGTGTGTCTGGCTGGGCCGAGGCAGCCTTCCGTCTGCAAACTTCTGGGCGGATTCATAATCTCCGTCACCCAGCCGTGACTCAGACCGTCAGCCCAGTGATAACGGCGACTTCCGTGAAGCGATCCCTCCGCTCTCCGTGACCTCCTGCTGTCGTGACCCCTCTGCCGTGAGCTCCCGCTTCTGTGACCTCCGTCTGCCGCGACCTCCCTCCCCCGTGAGCTCCTGCTCCTGTGACATCAGGCCTTCCGTGACCTCCCGGTGTCGTGACTTCCCACTCCCATGACCTCCTTCTGCCGTGACCTCAGACCTTCCGTGACCTCACACTCCCGTGACCTCCCTCTGTCGTGACCTACTCCCGTGACCTTCCTGTGCCGTGAACTCAGGCCTTCCGTGACCTCTCGCCTCCCGCGACCGGTCTCGACAGGGGACTGCAGGGCGAGTCATGCGAAATCGATACGCTGTCCGGGAGTATGTTGGGCGGACGGCCATGTGGCCATCTGGACGGCTGTGGGTGTCATGCAACTGAGCCAGAGCATGCGGGGTGCGGTGGCGTCTTTGGTCTGTTGCCTAATATCGTGACATCGCCGGTGTATTTATGTAAACAGCTGACGCTGGATAAGTGGGTTCGGGATCGCGGCGGTGTGCTTGAATTAAGCAGCGTAAAGTGGGTTTGGCTTGTTTGGAAACTTCGCTAGGAATAACGAGAAGTATTGCCACCTGATGTGGAAGTTTGTTGGCCACCCATACATCATGCCCTTAGCGCTGTCCCACCCGGGGTAAGCTGGGCTCTCGGCGAAGCGTGTCGATCCGACCATGCCCGAACCGGTGAGCCGTGCTTCTGAAGCTGACCTAAGCCGTGCCTCTGAAGCCGACCTGAGCCGTGCCTCTGTGAAGCTGACCTGAACCATGTCACTGTGAAGCTGACCTGAGCTGTGCCTCTGTGAAGCTGACCTGTGCCGACCTGACCCGCTTCAGGAGTCGACCTGACGGCCAATCAGGAGGAGGTGGGCGAGCACGAGCGATTCCTGATGGAGTTCGATCTGGCCACGCGACGCTGGTACATCCGCACCATGCTCGACCGCTACTGGACCCTGGAGACCACCGGCGGCATCCAGGCGTCGTCTGGCAAAAAGTCAGTAGCGGGAGAGGGCGCCGAGCAGCGGTCGCCGTGGACTGGCGGGTGGCGGGCTAAGGGTGAGGGTCGGGGTTGGGGGCCAGAGAACGGTATTCCGCTCCGGTGACTTGGATCGGGTTTCTCGACCTGATGGTGCAGTAGGAGACGCCGAGTACAGGATCCGGCGTTTGCCGGAGGACATGCGCTTCGAACGGCCGCGATATGCGACTTGGTTGGCTACGTAGGTGCATTTGGCATGCTTTGCAGCACGTGTTTCGCGCACACTTTGTCTGTACCCACCATCGAAGCAGGACAATTCCAGTCGCGGGATGCGTCTGCCCTGGTAGCTGCGAGCATTTACCAAACGGACCGTGCATTGCCCTAAGATGACTTCATAGTGAAAGCGATCGGAAATCGGGGGTGGATGCTCGTTTCGGGCACTTTCGTGCGTAGGACCGGTCATTCTTTAGCCGCCGCGTGTGGGCCAACGCGGGTCAAAGGTCAAGTGCATCGACACTGTGCAACGCGGCTTGGCTGGCGCTGCTGGCTGGCTGTGTCCGCGCGGCCAACGCGGCTTGGCTGGCTGTGTCCGCGTCATGGGGTCGGTGTCAGCCAGCTGGGCTCGTGAACACGGGCGCAGGTGCGGGCCCGTTATCCCCGACACCAGCCGCCGGAGCCGTGCTTTGCGGTTGCCGCGCGAGCCTGTTCTGGATTCCTGGAGCTGCCCCCAACCCCACGCCGCTCCCTCACACCTGGTGAGCATGCTGGTCGCCAGCGTTGAGTCACTAGCTCGGTCCGCGCTCTTTGTCCCGACTCCAGAGCGCGCCTTTAAAGGCTGTTGCGGCTGTGAGTACACGGGCGCGCTGACGGGTGAGCCACGCGCTGACGCATCGCGTGGCTCCCCGGCTTCGGCGCTCGTGGTCGTATTAACAAGCGCTGAGTGTGCTATTCGTGGCTGTTAGCGCCAAATGACATCAGACATCATCAGTCTCATGGCATCACTCGTCACTGAAGTGTGGGCTGAGCGT